TCGGCAAGTTTCCTGGAATATTTGAGACTCAAAATTCCTTCCTTGATCGCTGTGAATCTCTAAAGGTACTCCAAAACGACAGAAGACTTCATGAACTAATTTATCTGCAACTGTTGAAGCTTCTTGATTTGGAATGGCGAAGACTTCTGGCCACTTAGTGAAGTAATCCATCACAACCATGAAATACTTGTTACCGCTTTCACTCTCCGGAAACGGCCCCGCCACGTCAATGGCTATTCTCTCCCATGGTGCGCCCACATTGTACAACTTCAATGCACCTCTACTACGAGTCTGAGGTCCCTTTACAGCCGCACAATTTGTACATTTGCGACACCAGTCCTCGACATCGTTTCGACAGTGGACCCAGTAAAACCGTTCTCGGATCTTCAGTAGAGTTCGCTTAACTCCCAGATGGCCTCCTGAATAATCATTATGGTACAGCTGTAGAACATCCGGTACTTTAGCTTTAGGGACAACCATTTGTAAATGACAGCTGTCTCCCCGAACATTTTCCCATTTACGGCACAGAACTCCATCCTGAAGCAGCAAGCTGTCCCACTTGGCCCAGTAGCTTTTAGTGGTCGAACTCATCGCTGAGACGTCGCTCCACTTGGGCTTGGGAGCACTGACCTTCATCCATTCCAGGATCGGCTTGATGTCCGGATCTTCCTGCTGTGCACGTTGTAAGCTGTTCTTCCACTCGTTGCTGAGGTGGTCTGCCCTGAGCATCCTCACGGATACCACTTCCTTACTCTCTTGCCTAGTACAATGTTTGCAATCTTCAGGACAAGGTCTTCTTGACATTGCATCTGCGTTGCCATGAGATTTCCCGTTACGATGTTCAATCTCAAAGTCGTATTCCTGCAGTAGTTCAATCCATCTCGCAACTTGTCCTTCTGGATTTTTAAACTGCAATAGCCATTTTAGTGCAGCATGGTCAGTTCGTAAGTGAAATTTTCGTCCCAGAAGATATTTGCTAAAATGCTGCAACGACTTTACCACAGCTAGCAATTCGCGTCTTGTGACACAGTAGTTCCTTTCCGGTTTTGACAACGACTTGCTGAAGTACGCTATCACGACCTCTTGGTCACCATTACGTTGAGACAACACACCGCCAAGTCCTATATCACTTGCGTCTGTGTCAACTATAAATTCTTTGCTTGCATCAGGGTATCCCAAAATAGGTGTTTTGCACAGACGGTCCTTGAGCTCCTGGAATGCGATATTGCAACTTTCATCCCAGCAGAAATGTCGCTTCTCCTCGGTTAGCTTGTGCAGAGGTTTAGCTATATCTGCAAAGTTCTTCACGAATCGCCGGTAATAGGAGCACAAACCCAAAAATGCTCTAACCTGCGTCTTGTCTTTTGGAACCGGCCAATCCTTGACAACGGCGATTTTCTCTGGATCTGTGCGGATACCTTCTTCCGATACTACAAACCCCAAAAAGTTAACTTGCCGTTGGAATAGTGAACATTTCTTCGGGCTCAACTTGAGGTTGGCACTCTGAATCTTCATGAGCACGCGTTCCAGGTTTTGAAGGTGTTCCTCAAACGTACGGCCCACGATGATGATGTCATCCAAGTAGACCAGATAGGCATCGCCAATTAGCCCGGTAAGTACAAGTTCCATCAGCCTTTCAAACGTTGCTGGAGCATTGCACAACCCAAACGGCATTACTTTGAATTGCCACAGACCCTTTCCCGTCGAGAACGCAGTTTTCTCCTTGTCCTTAGGGTCAATTTCAACTTGCCAGTAGCCACTTTTTAGATCCAGCGTGCTAAACCATTTTACTCCTGTAAGCATGTCCAGCGTGTCATCAATTCTTGGCAAGGGATAGCTGTCCTTCTTTGTAACGTCATTCAGACGGCGGTAATCAACACAGAACCGCATGCTGCCATCCTTCTTTTTCACCAGCACCACTGGTGAACACCATGGATTAGAGGAAGGTTCAATAACACCATCCTTCACCATTCCTTCAATCATGGTTTCCACCTCCTTTTCACGTGCTACCGGCAATCTTCTTGGCCGCTGACGGATAGGCAATTCCTCTCCTGTGTTTATTTTGTGTTGAACTAAGCCAGTCTTTCCTATGTCAGCATCGTTTGATGAGAATACATCGGCGTACTTGAGTAACAACTTCTTCGCCTTGACCAATTCGTTCGGCGACAGAACACTGCGACAGTCTTCCAAAAGTGTGGTCACTCTCGTTTCTGAATCCTTGCTGGGGGTCCCACTCGATATAGATTGGCACTGACGTAACCAATCCACTTCCTCACAAGTACCAACCAGTGTGCCTTTTTCTATAATCTGTTCCCGGTCGCAAAGGTTCAGCACACGTACTCCTGAGCTGTCAGTGGTCCTGACCAAGGTTCGAGCTACTTTCCATGGAAGGTCATTTTCTAACCTTTCCACGAGTACACAACGATGAGGTTGCCCAGGATTCCGAGGAAGACTAACCGGCACAATCGTTTCCGATCTCGGCGGAAGAACAATCTTCTCTGTACACGTTCCCTGGTAACGCTCCTTCCACAAAAAGTTCCTCTTGTCCACATTTCAAAACACCTTGGTTAACGTCGATCTCGCAACAATTATTCCTCATAAAGTCTAAGCCTAGGATGCAGTCGTCCATTATATCAGCCACGATGACATTATGCAGGTAGATCACGTTGCCTAGCTTTAACACCATCTCCTTCTCTCCACGGACGGGTATACGCTGACCGGTGGCTGTTACCAAATTAATGCGTTCTCGGTTGTATGCGGAGTCCCCAAGGAACTGGCTTATACGTTGGGAACTAACAACCGTACGAGAGGCTCCCTCCAGTGTCTATGGTCAGTTTACACGGCATTCCGTTGACCTCGCCCTTGATGATTAGACTGTTCCCATCATGGGTTTGTGAGATCGAGATCCTTGGGGCTCTTTTAACATCAGCCAGCACCCGCCCCGCAGTTCTGGCTTTTACTCGTTTCCCTGCTGCTGCTGGGCGGTGCTGTTGGCCGCACTACCCTCCTGAGATCGTTCACCTTCCCTTTCTAGGGTTCGCTTAGGGCAGCTGGATCGAAGATGGCCCTTTTCCCCACAGCCATAGCACCTAGGGCTGTATCCTCTGTTGCGGTCGCGAACTGTAGCTGCTGCAATCTCCCTGATGCGATGGGAACGATGATCCTGCCGCACGGCTTCCACCTCCAGTGCATGGGCCAAGGCGTTCTTAAGCGTGTCGTGGTGCCCGAGTCTCACAGCAGCTCTGACTTCAAGGTCGCGGATGCCGTCGATGAATGTCTGAACCAGGTTCCCTTCAATGAGCGCAGGTACAGACTGGTATGCTTTTCGAACCATCTTCTCCACCTCAAGGGCCCACTGCTGCAGGTTCTCGTTGCTGCGCTGCACGCGATCTTTAAGCTGCGCGCGAAAGACGTGTTCCAGATGAGCGTCGCCATATCTCGCTTCCAAGGCCTCAAGAAGCTGCTCATAGGTCACTTTCTTACCGAGAGCTTCCAACACAGTTAAGGCTTGGTCGCGCAGGCCTAAGGTGAGTGCAGTCATGGCTTGGCTTTTATTCCAGCCGTTCGCCTCCATGACGGCCTCGAACTGGATTTTGTAGGCCGACCAGGAAGAGGTCCCGTCGAACGGCGGCACTTTGAATCCACGTAGCGAAGGTGCTGCAGCTACTACGGGAGCTGTAGTTCCATCCGCAAGTTTGAGGTCGTTTAGCGTTTTCTTCACGTCAGCCATCACGTTGTCAACCCGATTGTTTACTTGGTCGATTCGGGTTTCGGCCTCCGACAGGCGGTTGTCATGTTGAGCAACCTTATCCTTCACCTCCCGTATCTCTTTTCCGAAGATAGCGTGAAGGTCCTTCATGAGGAGCATCTGCTCTTCCTTATCGCGTTGGAGTTGCTCTTCTAAACGACGGGCCTGTTCCTCCTGTCGGCGGGCCTGTTCCTCCTGTCCGCCCCGCAGCTGCTCTTCCAATCGGCGGGCCTGTCCCTCCTGTCCGCTCTGCAGCTGCTCTTTCAACTGACGGACCTGTTCCTCCTGTCGGCGAGCCTGCTCCTCCTGTCGGCGAGCCTGCTCCTGCAGCATCACCATCAGAGCACCTAAGTCAGGTGCTGCAGATGTAGGAGCTACCGACGGGCCTTCAGCCGGTGGCTGGCCCTCCGACGTCTGCGGCGTTGCACCACCAAATCTTCTTTGGTCCGTCTCCTGCTGGCGTTGACTTCGGGTACGGACACCCTCCGTTTCCTCCTTAGGTAAAATCGGCATGATTTAATCCCACTTCTGACACCAATTGTTACGAGCTTGCGGTTCGTGACAATAAAAATTGCCGATAAAATTACCTAAATTAACACTTTAATTTACTTTACACAAATTAAAGTTAAAAACACTAATAATTAAACACACTTATTCACTTTTATTCCGCTCCGAAGCTTCGCTTGTTTCGCCAAATCAACACTACTCCCATCGCATCTTGCAGCGCCTATATATTTAAATTAGCAAAGAAATATCCAGAATGTTCAAGTAAACACGCGGAAGGTACCGAGCGTTCGAGTTTCGACTAGGCGCTGTCAGTTGAGTGATTTGTGATGTCATTTTCTCAATGCTCCCCTCGCTCTCGTTCCTGACACTAGATGGCGCTAGTTGACTTATTCATGCAACAATATTACGATGTAAGTAAATAGGTACTATCAGTACATGTGTTGAGATCCACTATCGTGGACCCCCATTTTCATTTCATGGACCCCCAAATTTTTTTTCGCTGACGTAGAATTCCTTGCAGGTTGTCATAGACCCCTAGGGGTCGATATAGACCACTTTGGGAATCACTGGACTATGTCGTTTACTCTGATTTTACTGAGAATATTTTCACTTCGAAAGTTTATCACGCAAACAAAGCATAGCTCTCTCCATAGCTCACTGAGCGACATTGAGCGGCTTCATGCTACCAGCAGTGAAGGCCCACGTCTCTAGATTGTATACGGTTAGTAATAAAAGGGAAAATCAC